GATAGATAGATAGATAGATAGATAGATAGATAGATAGATAGATAGATGGATAGATGGATAGATGGATGGATGGATGGATGGATGGATGGATGGATGGATGGATGGATAATAGATAGATAGATAGATAGATAGATAGATAGATAGATAGATAGATAGATAGATAGATAGATAGATAGATAGATAGATAGATAGATAGATAGACAGACAAACACATTTATTGTACCTACACACGTGTGGATTGTGTACTCAAGAATGAAAGAACGTACGATTCCTATTTTAGTCCTAAAGTAAATATTTTGTTGGACACACAGTGATATTTGTACAACGCTTGAACAAATTGTCCATAAAATTCACTCAGTTGGACATGGAGACTTTGTCTTTTATTGATCAGTTTGTCTAAAGTGACCTCACTCAGCGTCACTGGATGAGTTGTGATGTCTTTTGTAAAACTTTTCTCTGTTTATTTTCATGTGAAAGCTGTGACACTAACTTTTACTTTGCCAAAGCGCTTAAGAACTTGTAACAAACCTCTCTGAGTGAGTTTTACTCATGTAGTGAGCATCTTCCTCCCTCCACCTGAAGCTTCCCCTGAAACGTCATCACCACTCCTCTGACTCTTTTTACTCTGCCTGCCATTGTTCTAAGATTACAGACCAAAAATTTTTCAGAGGCATTGCTGCCGAGAGAAGTTCTGTCTATTTTTTTTTTTTTTTTGGATCTATAAACCACGGTGAAGGAAACAGAGTGATGAGCTGTGATTTGTTCATTACATTTAGGAAAAACACACACACAAATAAGCTTTAATCCTTTTTATATTCAAATGGAAGACAAATGGAAATGAAAAAATTCAAAAAATTAAAACTGCTGGTATTTTTTCCTGGAAATGATCTTGAGTCCTTGAACTTTCATAGGAAGCAATTCATAATCTCACAGTTTCTGTCAAAATGCAGATGTATAAAAACACACTGAATGGGCTCGAATGATTTCACTGTATTTTCTGTTTTTTACTGATTCCCAGACAGGAGTAGGATTAGCAGAAATGTGTCTGATAGATTACAAAGTAAAGTTTGCTTCCTCTATTTTCAGATGGGTTTGTATTGCCTAAAAAATTATTACTACTGTAAATGTCAAATGCACAGTCAGCAAAACTGAAATATGCACACCTAAAGACTAATTTTAATTTTGGAGGTCAGCCAGAATAGGATTAACTTTGTCATTTACTCTTCTGTTCTCAGATTTAGTTCCTTGAGTGCCAGTCGACTTCAAACGGTTGGATGGTTGCTCAAAAGTTTTTGTGCGTACGTGACAGCTGCTAATTCTTTGGATTTTAGGAGTGATAAATTAGCCACTAGAAAAACCTTGTGCAAACGTGTCGTCGTAAAACAAAGCACTAAAATCCAAGGCAAGATGTTCTAGGTTTTTACGAACCATTTTGTCACTGATAAAAAAAATACATTTTTCACACGTTCAACAACTTAAAACCCTTTTTCACCTGCTGACAAAAACACATGAAAAAGTTTAATACTGGCTTCTAAACAACCAAACAAAGAAAATAAATATACTCAACAAACTGATTGGATAATGTTTATGAAAAACATTCCTGTTTTGGGATTTGCAATTACAAAAAAAAGAAAAAAGAAAAGCAATATTTTTGCCCTTTTTGTTTTGAGATAAAAGTAAAATGTCTCCGTTAAGTCTGGGACTGACACTACTGAACTCCATTTGAAAAAAAACTAACTATTTTGCATTTCTGTGATTTGATTTTGATTAAAAATAAATTAATCCTTGAGGCATGGCGGCACAGTGTTTAGCATTGTCAACTCTCAGTGACAGCGAACAACCGCAGGCCTGGAGCCTTTCTGGGTGGAGTTTATGCTCTCCTCGTGCACATGCGCGTTTTCTCTGGGTACTTCAGTTTCCTCCCTCGAACCAAAAGTGTTAGGCTGATTGGTCACGCTAAATTGTCCCTAGGTGTGAGTGAGAGAGTGAATGGTTGTCTCATTTGTCTCTATGTGTCCCAGTGAAGTACTGGGGACCTGTCCAGGTTGCCCCCCGCCTCTCGCACAGCGACCGCCTGAGATAAGACACCAGCTCCCCATGAGGAGAAGAGGGTAAACAAAATGTATGCATTGAGTTAACATGTTGCTTTTTATATTCTCAATCAATAAAGCAGGTGAAGGGAAGGAGGGGGAGATCGACAAGAGGTCTAAAAAAGTTCAATCTGGTCCTCGGGACATACAAAAAACAAAACAAAGCAAAAAAAAAAAGTAGAAACGTTTCGTCTTTCATCCGAGAGACTTCCTCAGTCTGAGGTGCTGTGTTCAGCTCAGTCTCTTAAATAGCACCTTCTCAGAGTGGATCAACCAGTTTGCTGCTGACAACCAAAACCAGCTGTTCACATGGTCAAGAAGGACCATCAGCCTAACAATGGATCATTAGCACTCTGATGGCTGTTTACTGTTCACAGAGGGCTGAGTGACACTAGCAGTCACAGCATTGTAAGAGGGGGACAATTGAACCCAGAGGCCTTCACCCCTGTTTAATGATGGAGGGTTTCTTTTCACAAAGATGGCCTCCTTTACTCCTCTCTCAAACCATCGTTCCTCTCTGTCCAGGATGTGAACATCTTCATCCCTGAAAGAGTGACCGCTGGCCTGGAGATGAGTGTAACCGCAAAATCCTGGCCTGATGATGTTGATCTTCTGTGCTGGGCCATCCTTTTGGCCAGTGGCTGTTTTGTTTCCCCGATGTAAGACTGATCACAGCTCTGACACTGAACAGCATACACAATATTACTCTGTTTGTGCCGGGGGACTGGATCTTTGGGATGAACCAGTCTTTGCCGTAATGTATTTTGGGGTTTAAAAGCCACTGGGACGTTATGTTTAGAAAATAAACGTCTCAGTTTCTCTGATACTCCCTCAACATACGGAACGACCACTGGTCTGGGTCTGGGTTCCTCTTTTTCACCTGATGGCTGACTGGAGTCCTGTTTGGGTTTCTTCTCTGCTTTCAGGAAGGCCCAGTTAGGATATCCACATTGCTCTAGAGCCTGTCTTGTGCGGGATTTCTCCTTCTGCCTGGCTCCTGAGTTAGTGGGGACACTGTCTGCTCTGTGGTACAGAGTCCTGATAGGTAAACCATACAAACTAGGTGTGGCCTTCCCTAGGTACAGTCTGTGGAACAGAAAACGGAAAAAGGACCAGATTTAACTTTTTAGATTTTTCTACCCTGGATTATTGATCATGCATCAGGATATCAACAAGAGGTATTTCTGCACTGAATCAGTTACTTCTTATATAATAATAATAATAATAATAATGTCATCACATTGTCATCACTGTATGTTTCCATACAGTGGTGAAATTAGTCTCTGCATTTAACCCATCCACCACCAGGTGGTGCAGTGAGCAGCTATTGGAAGTGCCCCGGAGGCTTTCTGGGGATGAGGTGTGCTGCCCAGAGACACTACAAGGTGTACAGTGACAGAGGATCGAACCTGGGACTTTCAGGTCTTGAGTCGGCTGCCCTGCCTCTACACCATCTCAGCTGAGATGACATTGGTCTGAGATGATATATTATCATTTCAGACCAATGTCAAAATTAGAAATTAATAATTGTGACAAGACTGTGTCTAATTTTTTAACTTTGCTGAACCCAAACTGTGAGTTATTGCTTGCTCTTTAACTGGATGAGGTCCATGAGCAAAACTGAGGGAATTTCCACAATCTCCATTTTTTTTTTTTATTTCTTTTGGCTGCTCTCTTCTTCAGGGGTCACCACAGAGGACTATCTCACACAAAGATTTGGCACTTGTTTTTACACCAGATGCCCTTCCTGACACAATCACAGACCGCTGAGCTACCACAGCCCTCTGTGTGGAGCAGAGAGCTGCTATCTAGGATACCCAGGGGAGCAGATGTTGCTCAAGGGCCCAGAGTGAGGCAGATGAGGCAGGTGTGAGTGTTTCACCATTCCCAGCCACATTTTAATGTAGTTAGTCTGTGTAATCGAAATGGCAACCTTCCAAACACAGGCCAACCTTCTCTAACCTCTGAACCACCACTCCCCCTTCCACAATCTCTCTATATTTTATCTTTTGACACCTAACACCTGCTTAGCTGTGTTTTGGGATAAAGACCTATGACCCAACAGGTGTTCAAAAATCGAACGCACTGTCTGATTTTTTTGTTTTGTTTTGCTTTTCTGTCACGTAATGCCTCCAGTTCAAAGACGAGGTCTGAGTCGAGTTTCTGCAAAACAGTGGGGGAAACAGAACTTGTCAGTACTTTGAAAGAACTAATAAGTCTAATTGTTGAGTAGAAATGCTGTGTGGTCTCACATTTGGTCAAATACTTTTCAACAAAAATGAAAACAAATCCAGATTTTTAAAGAAAAAGCACTAACAGCTGTTGCAGCCAATCTTCACACCACTCCCAGAGGCAAACACATTAGGAGTGACACTGACAGATGTGGAGAAGATTGTAAAATTGTCACTTGTTTAATCCATCATGCTAATCAGGACCAGAGTAAGAAATACCTACATCACAGCTGTCTCTCTCCACACTCATTTTAAATTGTTGCCTTGGTTTCTGAACCCACTACATGGTCTGACACTCAAACAGGAGTTTGACCAAATGTTACACAAAAGCATGGGAAGAATTTTTGTTCTGTGACCAACAGATAAAATAAAACAGTCCTTTGTTTGTTTCAGGGACATCATTTTCAGGAAAAATATTTGACAACAGAAGTAGCTTATTAGTCTACTGAGATATGTAAAAGAGAGTTTATTCCCCGTTAGTGATTTTAAAAAGAGGCGCACCAGTAGTTTCAGCTCGGTTAGTTAATTTGTTTGTGTTTCAGCATGACGAGGGCTCAAACTGCGGGGACCTTGGTTCTTCCAGTGGTAAAGGCCAGTACCTGATGTTTCCTCATGCAACAAATGAGGTGCGTGAAAACAATGACAAATTCTCACCCTGCAGCATTAAACATATAAGCAAAATCCTAAATCTGAAGAAGGACAACTGCTTTTTAGGTGAGAGACGTCCCTCGCACAGTACCCATCTTTGTGCTTCCTGCAAAGTTTACATCATGTAGAATACCACTTGTGCATTTAATATGGATTTATTGTGTTTTTCTGCACCTCTGCTCGCTTTGGCCAGTCAGTGATCAGCCCATCTGTGGAAACCAGATTGTGGAGGAGGGTGAGGAGTGTGATGTCGGTCACAATGACACAGACGTTTGTTGTTTTAGTGCTAAAGAACCTGTAGGAGTCCAGTGTCGCCTCAAGCCTGGTAAAGTCTGCAGGTACTGCACGCATAACGTAGTATCAGCATATATAAGTAACTTTTTTTAACCCATATTTGTCAGTTTAGACATGCTCTAACTTTGTTCACCCCACTTTAATTTAAATAAACCATTGTTATTGCGCTTTCATCGAAACTACTTTATCTTTTGTGTTTCATGCTAATTTGCCCCCCTGACTGCATGTGCATCATGTCTTTTCACTTGTCCGTCAGTCCGAGTCAGGGCCTGTGCTGTGGTCACAACTGTGTGTTTAAGCCAGCCGGTCAGATGTGCCATGAAGTGACGGACTGTCTGGAAGAAAGTGTGTGTTCGGGTCTCTCCGCACTCTGCCCCACGCCACACGCCAAGGAAAACCTAACCGTCTGCAGCCAGGGCACCCGCGTCTGTCTAAATGGGGTGAGGCACACGCACCCAGTCTGTGACTCAACACATTTTCTTTATGACCCAGTGGTTCAGGCAACGCTCGTATGTGTGCACCAGTACTGCAGAAAGGAATGTGCAACCTTGCAAATAGCAACTAAAAGAACTGTTTTGTTAATTTAGGACATTTTTTTTCATCTCCATGAGCTGTTTTCTGCATCAAGCTGAGCCTAAAGTACAGCTTTGTGAGTCTGAACAAAAACAACTGATATTAGCACATCTAAATAAAAGCACAGTCAAATCAGTTTCTAGATGCACATACAAGTAAAGTGCTTCCTGTTTTGTTTTAGGCTAGTGTGAAGATTAAAGAAAATCCTAAAGCTGATGAATCACTGAGCAGCTTAAATTTTAAACAAATGCATCACAACAAATAGAAATACTGACAAAACATCTGCCTGAATCCAACTTACCACACAATGTGTGTTTGCTAAAAAATAATCCTGAACATTTTCCTCCAACATTATGACCCAGTGTGCTCATATTCCAGCTATGAATGTTGATTCATCATACAGATGCAATGAATTAAAATACTGTTTTAACAAGAAGTTAAAAGATTTCTTGTCGTTCATTTCAGACAGTGAAACTCATATATTACATACATTTATTACACGTAGACAGAAATATTTCAGGACTTTATTTCTTGTGATTTTGATGATCATGGGTTACAAATAATAAAATAAAATAAAATAAAAATCCAGTGTCTCTGAATATTAGAATAATCCACAGCCAGATTTTGGTACCTTTGTCAGTGTGGGCAGGAATGAATCCAGCATCTCCATAGAGCTCATCAGCAGAAGGAAGCATGAAGTCTGTAAAATGTTCTGCTAGATGTTGCGTGGACTGTGGACTTAGAAAACTCAGTGGACCAACACCAGCAGATGACATGGACTCAAACCATCACTCACTGTGGAAACTTGACTCTGGACTGTAAGCACCGTGGATTCTGGGCCTATCCTCTCTTCCTCCAGACTCTGGGACCTTGATGTAAAAACGACATGAAAATTTACTTTAATCTGAAAAGAGGACGATGGACCACTGAGCAACAGTCCAGTTCTTTGTCTCCTCAGCAGGTAAGACGCTTCTGATGTCACCTCTGATGGCTGGACTTGAGGAATGAGACATTTGTAGCTCACATCTAGGAGTTAATCTGCTGATTAGGGAGTGACACCAGGAGTTTAAAATATTGAACCTCTTCACAATATTCAAATTTTCTGAGACACTGAATTTTTGTTTTCCATTACTTGTGAGCTATAACCATCAAAATTCACAAGTAATAAAGTCTTGAAATATTTCACTCTATGTGTAATGAATTTATATGAGTTTCACTTTCTGAAATGATTGACAAGAAAATGAATATTTTCATGACAGTTTCATTTTTTAGATGCACCTGTATGTCCTAGATATCTTATTGTCCACATATGTAATCTACAAATCTCCAGGAGTTTAAAGCTTGAGGGTAAGACACCATACCTAGAAAAAGCTATTGGTGAGATGAAGGAATAATGTGTGAGCACACCCCAAATCTACTGGGTTAAAAACAACCCCATCAGTAACCCAGGGGGTCAAATTTGGACTGAGCTAAAACTGGACTGTTTTAACTCGGCAGGTCTTGGTTAGCAGTTTGACCCAGTACAGTGGGTAAAGGTTTATATCCAAAATGTGGGTTTAATGACTAATTTGTGGATTTAGAGCTACAGAATAGTTTAGTGAAAATCAACAACCCAGAATTTGTGTCATTAGATAATTACAACATTAGCACGCAGCTAACTAGTATCAACTAATGTATGACCCCAAACTCACCTTCTAGTGCAAACTAAGTTATTCAGTTTAAATATTTTCTTTCAAGTTGTTTTTACCAACATTTTACTTGACATTGGTCAAGTTCATCCAATCTATGACCCAACAGGTTCAGCCACCAGCTAAGTTATCAAAATAACCCAGCAATTCTAAGTGTGTATAACCCTTGCACAGTTAAAAAAAAAAACGTAGTGTTAGTCTTCTGATAAATAAAAATACTATCATATTATTTTCATAAGAAAAATCTATTTTGCTTTTACATAGATGGTTTAAATCCCTGAAAATGGGATCTTAAAAAGCTGAAGTATCTGCATCACACCAGTGTTGGCCAGATACTTTCCATGAGACGAAGCCAAATGAAAGCACTGAATTCAAAGGATTGCAAAAAGCGAAACAGACAAGAAGAGAAGCAGAAAAAAAAGGTTAGATGAGAACGAAGTGAAAACACGTCTAGTGATTAGAAAATTTGAAACAGGTGTGAAAACAAACTCAGATCAGAACAAAGCAATGAAATAAAAAACATAAAACCAACAAATACCAAGATAATCCAAGCAAAATGACTCTGACTCATTCTTTCAAATGAATAAAATCAGAAAAAGATGACAAACAATAACAACAGTGTAAACATCAGACCATGTCAAGATCTCAACAGTTTTAGTAAATATTGAACAATGTCGGCTATTTGTTAAACATATGCACTAAACATCTGTGCACGGTTTTCTCCATGACATCAGCATAAATAACTAAATGAAGCATAGTTTTAGGCAGGACATGTATGTTTAATGTAAACTAACCTTACTTTGTCTTTAAGTCTTCTCTATGGTACTCACAATTACTCTTAGCTCGTTACATTTCAGAAAGAATTACCAGTAGGTTTTTTTTTTTTTTTGGGGGGGGGGGGGGGTTGGTGGTGGGAGTAATGTTTGCTCAATGGTCAAGTGCCATAGCCTTAGCCTGGGGTTGTCAGTTGAAGCCCAGGTTGCGTCAGGAACAGCATCCAGCATGAAACAATAGCCAAACCTTCCATGTGAGTTCACTCGCTGTGGCAACCCCTGCAGAAGGGAGCAGCCGACAATAAGTTTTTATAAAATTAGCAAATCTAGCAAATAATAATAAGCTCTTCAGTGAATACTTCATGTTTAGCTGTAAGAATCATACCATACCATACCATACCATACCATTTTATTTATAGAGCACTTAAAACAGCTACAAGGCCAACCAAAGTGATGTACAGACAGAACAATAGACAACACACAAAGCAATATACAAAATGAAGTAAATCAAAAATATAGACGTAAAAACGATGCAGATAATAAATATGATGACTAACCAGTGTGGAGCATACAGGTTCAAAACACAGATCCTCTGGTGTTGAAAGCTACTGAATAGTAGTGGGTTTTTAAACGGGATTTGAAAACCGAGAGGGAGGGGGTCAGTCTGACAAGCAGAGGTAACTCGTTCCAAAGTCTTGGTCCTGCTACAGAGAAGGCCCTGTCACCTCTGCGCTTAAGACGAGTTCCTGGAACTGTGAGGAGGAATCATCATTGGCTAGTTGTTTTTGACTTACTGAAAGTACCAGTTTATCTTTTCACAACATTTTGCTGCTTTTTCTTGTAAAATATAAGCACTGTTTTTTACCATTACTTCCCACATTCCCCACTCTTTCTTTTGCATGCATGATCATTAAAGTATTTTTGCTTTGTTTTGTGGCAGGTCTGTGCTCAGTCTGTGTGTGTGAAGCACCGCCTGAAGCAGTGTGACTGTCCAGGAGACGACATGAAGGAGAAATGCCACATGTGCTGCCAGCAGCCTGGTAAGAGCAGACACGTTTCGTCTCAGACTGAGGAACATGTGTACACTTTCAGTCCCAACAAATGAGCCTGCGTCCGTATGGAAATAATCCCCTCAGAATTGTTGTTTGCTGGTTCGTAACCTCAAGATGTTCACAGACAAATTCAGCTCTTTGTCAGCTTTGTAATGGACTGGATATCATGTAAACTGTGTAGTATTTAAAGTAACATGTAATTCATAAGTAAGTGTACTAAAACCTGTGGTCTGACTGTGTATATTGCAGATAAGCCTGAAACGTGTGCCAGCACCACCTCCTCTGTGCTTTCTCGTCATTTTCAGAGAAAATTGTTGCCTCTGGTAGGAGGTGCTCCATGCTCAGGGAACCGAGGATACTGTGACAAATTCCACGTATGCCGTCTTCTAGATGCAGACGGCCCGATCGCCAGACTGAAGAACTCTTTCCTTCATTTGGATGATTTTGACGACATGGCAGAGTGGATGAAGGTTATTGCTTTTATTTGTCTAATGAGGTTGTCAGGTCCTCTGGACGGATTCTTCTTTGTTGAAACGTTTCATCTTTTATCCAAAATAAGTCTTCAGTCTGAGGAGCTGCAACAAAGTCAGTCTTATAAGCAGCACTTTGTTATAATGACCATCTGTTTGGCCAGTGGCTGTTTAGTTTCCCCAGTGTATGACTGTCACAGTCCTCCTGGCACTGAACAGAAAATGGAACTGAGTGGATCTTTGGGATTAACTCGTCTTAGCCATAATGTGTTTTAAAGTTTTGAAGACTACTGAGATGTCAGGTTTAGGAAATTTAAAAAAGTTTGGAAAAAAATCCAGTCCTCTGACACAAACTGGGTAATATTGTGTGCTGTTCAGTGCCAGGAGGCCTGTGACCAAGTTGTGTTGGGCTCCAAAAAGATCCAGCACAGAAGAACAACATCTTCAGGCCAGGACTGTGTGGTCTACATTCATCTGCAGGCCAGCAGTCACTCTTTCAGGGATGAAGATGTTCACATCCTTGATAGAGAGGAACGATGGTTTGAGAGAGGAGTGAAGGAGGCCATCTTTGTGAAAAGAACTCACCCATCATTAAACGGGCGGAGGCCTCCGTGTTCAACTGTCCCTCTCTTAGAATGCTGTTATTGCTAGTATCACTCAGCCCATCAGGGCACTAACAATCAATTGTTAGGCTGATGGTCCAATTTTTGCATGTGAACAACTAGTTTTGTCTGTCACCAGCAAACTGGTTGATCCACTGTGAGAAGATGCTGTTTATAAGACAGTTTGTCGCAGCTCCTCAGACTGAAGAAGACTTTTGGATAAAAGACGAAACGTTTCAACAAAGAAGAATCCGTCCAAAGGACCTGTTAGATTTGTCTACCTGGATTATTGAGCATGCATCAGGACATTCTTTTTATGTACTTATACATATTTGTTTACACACAGAATTCAAATCACCCCATGTTCCAAAATATTAACAAAGACTTTTCTGGGTTTTAGCTTTTATAAGGACAGGGATGACTAACAGCTGCACTTTTCTTATACTGAACAGATTTTTAAAAATGAATTTGATCCAGCTGTTTTCGTGTCTTGTAGCTAAACTCAAGTTAAACTTGCCCTCCGTTGATCTCCATGCTAAACCTTGGCCAAGTGTTTGGGAGATCACCAAGACAAAATCACTTCAAACCTAACCAAGTAGTTAAAGTAGTGAAACATCACCTGTCTTCCAGTCATAATAAGCACACCTGTTTACATTTACTTATCACCCCTGGCAGTATAAACTATTTACTCCTCGTTTTCAGCAGCATCAGATCCTCTTGTTTATCCTGTGGATCCTGCCATGCTGCCTTTTCCCCAACGTTGCATTGGTTTAGTTAAAGTATGTTGCCTTGTTCCAAAAACTGCCTCCAACATTCTGCACTGGGGTCCTTGAATAACAACTCATCACTCTATGTGACAGTAGGATCTGACTGTCACTGACTCGGGACTCCAACCTACATCCTGACAATGGCACTTGTTTAAAACTCCATCAAAGTCGCAACACTTGCCCAGGACTTCTCATCAGCTTTGTTGTAGACATCAAGGTGATCCAGATCAACTCACCTTTGCCACATTAGGACAGCAAGCAGGTACAGGCCTGTTCCTGTTCCAGCTGATGAAGTGGTCCAGGCCAACCCACCTCCATCCCCTCACCTTGACATAGCGATCCAGGATGACCTGGGTTTAGGTTTACAAAATGTTCAGGCCAACTTGCTTCCACAACGTTAGGTAGATGAGGGGAGTCAGTTGACTTGCTGTTTCACTCCCCAAAGAGGAGGGGAGCAGCCTAAAGAAAAACATATTTAAAAATAATATAGTAAACATTATATTAAGCATATTGAAATATGTTTTGTACAACTTATCACAGACGTGGCCCAATGATGTCTGTGAGCACAGGGCTTTCTTTCTGACATTTTAACTTAGTTTTGAAAGCTCTGATAAAACTACATCCTCACTCCTTGTCGGTCCAAAAACTGTTAGCGTCACGACCAAAACGTTTGCTTAAGCGTTCAGAAAGGCAGACGAAACATTCACAGTAAGTTTTAGTTCATGAGAAATTAAAATTGTATTGCATATGTATTTTCTGCAGGCTCATTGGTGGGTCATCCTGCTGGTTATACTGACGCTGTCCGGAGTGATGGGCTGCACAGTCGTTCTGTGTGGCCAAACCCTGAACACCCGCAACTTGGACTCGCCCTTAACGCCTACTCTCTCCAACACCACATGATGGAAGCAGATAAAGTGCACTTTTAAGAGTCGATGTCACATTGTGGAGATGCCTGTGGATGCCTTCATCTCCCTTCACAGTCTGTGGTCTGAAAATGACCTCTGACGTCACCGAACACCTGCTCATGCTAGTCTGCCATCTGATCTGTCTGTTAGTCAACATGCATCTGAATTTCCTTTTCCTTGGGAGACTTGTTCGTGGTAATTCTCCCATGATACTTGCGATGTGGAAAATGTTCCTGCCAACTGTGGAATGGGTCAGTCTAGTTTTCCTCTGAGAGCCTAGATACTTGTGACACTAGTGTCTCTTCAAAGACTAAAGGGAGTGTATTTCTGATCTGGAGACCATCCAGCTTTCCATCTTAGTGCAAATTCATGAGCATGTGCACATGACCTCTGGAGTCAGGGCTGCAATTTGTCTCAAAAAACATTTTAATAAAGCAACAACGATCATGTTTCAATCTAGAAAGGTAGTACACAGATGTATGAGTATTAAAATGAATATTCCAGTTGAATAATATTATAATGCACAGAGAAGCCTGTTGGTTTCCAGCCCTTTTTGTTTAGCATTTAGGAAGTGAATCTGCAGCTGTTTGTGCAGTTAACTCAAGTGTCCTTTTGTTAATCTGTCTCCATGTTACCTTGACACAATCAGAAATACGTCCTGGCGTCACAACTGTGAGGACATTAAGAAATAACACTTCTTGTTCTGGATAATCAAAGAATACTTTGGACTTTTGTATATCAGAAATGGAAGTGTGAGAGTTTAAAGTGTTATTCTGTGGCTCAAACATTTTAATAACAATAAAAACAGAGTGGAGGTAAGCTTTATTATAATTATTGTTACAATCACTACGCTAAAACAAATTTCCCACTCAGTCTGACCTCAAAATTGGCAAATTTATTTTATTAAAAATCTACAGTGCAGTGACAAACAGTATTTACAATTTTATACATAGAACTAAAACACACATTTTACAGAATAAATTCATCCAAGTGTAACAAATAGTTATAGCGGCGCCTCTTTTTAATAAACCTATTATGTGTGCTTTGATATTTACATAGATTTATTGTACAAATAGCTTGCTTTAGCAATCTGCTCCTGTTTTGTGCAAAAAACAAAACATTCCCATACTTTTAAAGTCGTAATCATTGCCGTACCAATCTCTGTAAAGCAGAGAATACAGTTTTAGAAAGGAATAGAAACGTATTTAGAAATCAGTGTGCATTAGCAGATAAAAATGTGCTCACACAACGAGGACAACAACATTCGTGGACATTTGACTTTTACCTTACAATGAGTATCACATTGTCAAACAAAGTTATATGCAGTATTCGAGGCACATATGGCAGGTTTTTGAGGTGAAAGACGTCATATTTTAGGTGTGCAGCAGCAGAACAAATCACTCAAAACAACACAGCTTTTGCTGGAAGTCTCGTGAAACAAGAGAAATGCACACTGAGGTTAAATCAGGTAAGAACAAACAAAAAGAAAAGGTCTGTTTGGCAACTGTTTCCAGTAATGCCAGCTGATACAGAACCCAGTCTTGCACAGTGCTGGGAGCCACAGTGGTAATTATTTTACTGTTAGGTTATATGTGAGCATGATAACACTAACAAGTGGAACATTTCTACCACATTTACAGCAGCTCCCTTTAGTTTACATTTCATGAGGTATTTCATAACATAAAGTACCTACATAATTAAAAATAGTAAATCCAGTCTTCAGGCTTTTAACACTGGTACTTTTCCATTTAAAAGAATGCAAACATTGCTACATCTTTCCTTCACGTCTATGTTGAAATGCTTCAAAACAGATAAAGATCCACAGTCGCGTTGCGATTATATTTTGTCAGTCACTATCTTCTTGGTTTGTCACAACCCCAAAATCTAATCCTTTCATTACAGATGTTAGCCATCACTTTAGATAGTTTACTACCATTAACAATAAATACATATTTTAAAGAGCTGTTTCTAAATGAATATGTAGCAGAATGAATGTACCTGGTTTTGCCTTTATTATATTTATCTATTCGGACCATCTGTGTCCACTAAAGATAAAAATATTAACTTTTTTTTACACATGTGTATCTTTTTTTTTTTTACAAAATACTGTACAGTATTTACATATATATTTTGGACACCACAACTTTATACAAGGCTTTAAGTATCTGAGAAGTTTACATGAGTATAAATGGTGTATAAATTATGTGCTGAAGGCAAAAGGAGTTGAACAGTTTCTTTTCTTCGTGTCAATCATTCTTCAGCGATACTCTGTGCACAAAAACAAGGTCATGGTTACACATCAACTCTCACAGTAATGTATTGGTAATAAAAAAAATGCAAACTCACCTTCTTGTAATTTGTTTTGATTTCATTCTCCACGTTCCCTTACATTTAACAAATGTGACCTCCTGGGTTGGGTTTTGAGTTTTGGGATCTTTTACACAAAACACCATCCTGTAAAAAGAGATTTAGGAAAAGATCTTAAAAGCCCCCTTTATCTAACTGTGTCATTAGCCAGTGATAAATAATAAAATAAATAAATAATAAGTGGGTTTGTTGGCAATTAGCACCAAACGCAACTTAAACTTGAATCAAATACACATTGGACACACAATTAGGAGCCATTTAAAAAACCTATTTTGAATAATTTTTATATTTCCATTAGTGACAATAACAAGATTTTTACAAACATGCAAATTTATCTTCAAAAATGCATATTCTTCAAACTTACTTTTGTTGCGTCTCACCAGCTCTGATGCGGATCTTGTGAACCTCCATGTTAGCCCCGTCTGAGTCTCCAGACCACCAAGCAGAAACCATCTTCAGTAGGCTGGAGGCCGACCAGCTGTTTGTCTCCTTCCACTTAAACTTCAACATCACCAAGTCGCCAATGTCTTTGTCTGTCACCAGCAGGAATGAATGTGTCTTATTTGTCACGAGTTTCTCCTTGCTGCCCAAAAAATTAAATAAAATTAGTATATCCACTAATATCCTAGTCAATACATATGATACAAAATAAAGCTTTGCAAGTTTAGGCTTGTAAAGTGCACACGTGCTATAATAACCCAATATGGAACCTGTTTACTATGTGTGTGTGGTTACATCACAGTTTATCATTTTGTCTTAAGCAACTGTGTTGACGTTAGAAAACATGTCATAACTTGTAAGATGCAAATCACTGTGATGTAAATCTCTGCTAAAGCTTTTAAACTGCTCACTCACAGCTTCAGTTCCAAGTTTTCCGCCTCTCCTTTGGTTCCAAATAGTGAGAGGGTGAGCGAAGGCTCCATCTCTGAAGCTTTCACTTTACTGGAGAAGTGGATCTTCATCTGATAATGGTAAACTGGAAGAGCCGCCACAAAATGCAAATATTCAAGAAGCTGCTCAATAATAATCCTGCTTCAGATTAGATTTTGTCTACTGACCTTTGAAAGGCATGGAAGCTCGAGTCTTGGTGTACATCTGAACGCGGCGCGCTCTCCGGACTTTGCTCATATCGTAGCCCACCGTGTTGCAGCGGGTCTTGCGGCAGCTTAAACACATGCCGCGATTGAACATGTCGCTGCTGCCACACCTGTAGGCCTTGGCCACTTCCTGTTTGTTCAGCAAAGAGTCGATGAACAGGTGGATTGAGCGCTCGTGTTCACACTTGACTGCATCAGTGATAGCTGAAGAGACGAGAGGGAGACATGGACAAACATATAGATTTAGTGTACACTCATTCAACCTTCGTTCAACCTTCATTTATTCAGGTTATTCTCATTGAGTCACGAGGACTCGTTTTCAAGAGACCTGTTTTAAACAAAAAAACATAGATGGGGTACATACAACAATAAACATTCATGAAAAGCATATAAAAAGAAAAGTAAATAAAAGAAGTGATATAAAACAAAATAAAAACAAGCTACATTATGAAACGGAGTAAAATACTAAAAACAGGAACATGTCTGCATTGATTTTTGCATTGAACTTAACAATTGTTTAAAATCCCTTAGAGAGGTCAAAATCGAGAGCTTCACATCTTTTTGCAAGATGTTCAAGGAAACAGGAGCAGAGTAAGAGAAGGCCCTTTTGCCAAATTCAGTCTGCACTGAGGGGACGCTGCAGGTAATGATGTCTTGAGAGCGCACGCTGTAGCTGCACTGATGAAGTGACATGTAGGAGATATATGAAGGCAGCAGACCAAGGAGTGATTTAAAGATGAAAATGTACCAGTGAGAGTCTGCGTGAAGTTAATGATGACCAATTGACCAGTGAACAGAGTGCAGTGATGGGTACGGTAGTTACAGACAGTTATGTATCTTAGCACATCGTGATAGACAGCATCCAACATTTGTAAGGTGCTTGCAGGAGCATTCATGTAAATAATGTCAACATAGTCAATGGAGGGAAGGAAAGTTGCAGTTACAAGGTTTTTCCTAGAATTCAGAGTTTAAAAAGATCTATTTCTGAAAACGAAACACTATTTTAATTTCAATTTCTTTATCAAGTGTTCGAAATGAGGCTTAAAAGAGAAAAGTGCATCAACCAAGATTCCCAAGTATTTGTAAGAATCTACAAATTCAATAGCAACACCATTGGTAGATAAAGATAGAAGGAAGGACTGCTGGTACCAACTTCCTGTTTGAAAACAATATCCCTTTGGCTTTATCAGCATTTAGCACCAGTTTGAGATGGAATAAGTCTGACTGAATGATGTCGAATACAGTCTATAAAAGCTGGAAAACCTTAGCAACTGATTTAGCGTGACAATAAACAACTGTATCGGCAGCATAGATATGTAAGGATGCATCAGGAATGATTTGACCTGCATTACTTATCTAGATTGTAAAGTGGGTGGGTCCTAAGACTGAGCCTTGTGGTACACCATTGTTGACAGTTAAATAACTGGATGAAGCACCATTGTGTTGAACACATTACCTCCGATCTGAGAGATAAATACACAGATGACTACAAAAACAAGAAGCAGTTTTATTTGTTGACAGTTGGAAATAACCCCTAAATTTTTCTTGTCATGAATGGAGTGTTTGTTTTTAGATGAGAACAAACTTTGTGACTGTGCAGCGGGCAATAAAAATGTTTACAGCTGTGACAGAAAGCAATATGTTATTACTGAAGGTGCTAGACTGCTCTGAACAACGATTTTAAAAAGTGCATAAATGTTTTTTGTAACAAGTCTATTATTTATTAAAGAATGTACAAGTACAGTAATCCAACTCATGAGGTTGTCTTTTTAAGAACTCAAGTAAAAACATGATTCCTCTTTATAAGTTATTTTAATAATTAAATATTTCTTTAACAAATTTTGATATCCATAGATCATCAGTCCTAACATTAATAAAGTCAACAACGTGTAGAATTGAGCAAAACTCTTAAGTCATACCTAATTTCTTTATTTTTTTTGTTTTTAATGAGCCAGGTGTTCTTGTCATCTTTAAAACTGGTCTATATTTCGTTAGGCTTTCTGCTTTTTTCTGCTCCTTTTTCACTCATTTTTTGTCCAGTACTAGATCATTATCTGAATAATGTTTTTTTTTTTATGCCTAACTCTCTCGTTTTGGCCTAGAAAGGCTCCTGATTACAAGAGCTGAATCTGTGCTGTGCTGATGTAAAATACCAGAAATAGTACCATTTGAATGTATGTTAGAAAATTATTATTTTATCATCAACAATGTTAAAGAGCTAGCTGAAAACTCAACATACAGTTGAAAACATACTGAAGGATGATGCATCTGTCAGGTTCTGTGTCAAATTTCTGCTGGATTTCTTTCATATGTTTTATAAATATAACTGTCAGGTACTAATTGACTGCTGTAAACACTTTTTTAGGGCCAATACTTTTCTTTTTTTTTCTCACTTGTCTTCTTTTCTAATTTTTAAAACACACTCTACACAATATGCTGTCATGGTAAGACAAGGAATGGGTAGAAAATAAGTACAATAGCCAATCATCCATTATCTTTACCCACTTCTTCCTTTTCGAGTCATGGGGGGCACTGGTGCCCATAAAGTATCCCAAGTCCAAAAACAATAGTAAAAATAAATCTTTGTATGGCGTTCATAAATCTGAAGAGCTGTTTATCAAGACGCCTTTAGGAGATTACAAGTGTAACTATTTGAAACTGTGATGAAAATAATCTAAAAAGGCTATAATAAAGCTTGCCATACATGTAGATGACAAAATATTTAAAACAATTTTTTTTTACCAAAAATGCCAAAGTTTGCGATCTTCTCCAAGGCCCCTTGGAGGTTGCAGCCCGGCTGGAAGCTGCCCCCATTGGGGTAAATGTCCACGTGGCCAATGGGCTGCTCTATCCCGATGCTGAGTCCCAGGGAGCCGCGAGTGAAAGTGTGAAGGACGTCCACGAAGTGGGCGTCGTCTGGGGAGAGGCGCTTGTGAGCATGCTCACCCTCAAAGTCAGGACCAGCAGGATCCAGACCTTCAAGTTAAAGAAAAAAGGAACACCAGTAAATAATAAGTATGGATTTATTAAAAATATGACATATTGTAGAAAATGTCTTTGTTTACCAGTAATTCTTCCAACTTTATTGGTAGCATGGCTGCCAGCAACTCCTGCCACGTGAGCCCCGAGGCTGTAGCCAATCAGGTGGATGTTGTCAAGAGGCATGTTGGTGGTTTCCTACAGAACACACGTTAAACAAAATACAGTAAAGAATCTGCTTAATTTGAGACAGATTTTTGAAACAGTACAAACTGAGCATGAAGTTAAAAGTCACTGTGGGTTACTGCTGCCTTCACCCCACTCACCTCGATCCAGTCGATGAAGGAAGCAACCTTCTGTCCTACAGCTTTGGTGTTCTGGGCTGCGATCACATAATGGTTCTGAGCCGAGCTGAGCCAGTCTACAACGATGACGTTGGCCGTGCGCTCCCTGGCGTACAGCGCCGACACTAACTTTGGCATCCAGCTTTCAAACATACCACTCAGCTGTTGCAAGGACAGTCAGAACATTCAACCTTAAAACATGCCTTTTGATGGACCCCAGAAATAAAATGACCAAGGGAGTTCTTCTCACCGTCCATCCGTGGATCACCAAGAAGGTTTTGGACGTGCTGTTAAAGGTGCAGGCAGCCAGCGAGTCTGGATTGCCAGGAATAATGTAGCAGAGGTCGTCATCGGGATGGGAGGGTGTACGGAGGGAGAATTTGGCAATGGCTGCACCACTCTCATGCTCGTGATCCGAGGAGTTTTCAAGAGGGTCCAGGAAGTTACCTGGTGAAGAAGATTTAAAGATGAGCTGTTTTTGAGGACATTTTATTTAAAATCTGAACCACGTCTAAAACTAGATGACGGACAGGCAGATGTCCACTTCTGACTTAGATGTTCTTGATGCCAGACTGAACTCCTGGATGAACTCGGAGCTTCTCGGTAAACGAGCTTTTTTAGATTAGGTCAGAGTTCAGAGGGGTCAGGACTGACCTCCACAGAGTTCAGAGTTTGTTTTATTTACCATCTTTGTTCTTGACATCTCCCTCATTTGAATCTGCACAGTCAGCTAACTAAACTCAGCTGGGTTCACATAGATAGAGACAGGAGGGAGGTGTTCAGGTTTGCTTAAGGAGTCACCTGTGCACATGATAACATTTAGATGCAAAGCATTGCTTCTTAATCTAATAAGGTTAAATCAGGTCCTCTGGATGAATTCTTCTTGGTGACATGACTGAAGAAGTATTTTAGAAAACATTTCAACAAAGAAGAAGAATCTGTCCAGAGGACCTTACCTTATTAGATTTACCTGGATTATTGAGCATGCATCAGGACATTGCTTCTTTAATATTCTCTTTGACATCCAAGAAGCGTAACTCAAATGTCCTTGAGAACAGATGTTAGTCAACGTTTTTGTCAATGATGAGGTGATTCAATTATAGTAGCAAAATCCAACACATATCCAACTCATGCAAAGTACTTCTACTTTTCATGAGTTTTCTTTTAGATTTCTTTTGATTTTCCCACTTTTAGTCAGCAGACTTTAATCCTAGAGAGTCAATGTGATCAAAGGTGTGAGTAAATGTGGATGAGGTGCAACTCACCTAAGATAGAACCAGTGAGCTCTTCTTCCAGGGGGGTTCCATCCTGCACAGCTGCACTCAGAACCACTAACAGAACCCGAACCTGCCACGCTCTCATCTCTCACTCACACAGAAAAAAAAAGATTTACCATAAAGAGTTTTATTGACCGCAGCCTGTCGGGGAGAGTTATTCCGTGTTAATCGTGCCGGTCCTGCTGTCATCTGAGCCACCTTGAAGCGTCCGCGGTTTAAATAGTTCCCGTGAGTTGTGACGAGACATTGGCTGCGCGTCCGCGGGCGGGGAGGAGAAAACGTGTAAAGTAAATCATTAGGCTGATTCGTGAGAAGAGTGTTTGGAGGGAAGCCAGCTGAGAGCCTCGTTTATGTTTTTATTCTGCGTGTTTCTGCAGTGATGCAAGGAAATAATCCCTGCTGCGGATTAGGACAGATAACTGCCTGTTTGTGTTGATGCAGATAAATTTGATTTTAAAGTTAATAATTTCTATATTTATGTCATAAATTATTATATTAAACCAATAAAAAGTACAAAAATATCCGGAATAAATGCGGAAAATGCACACACAAAAGTGATAGAGTCTTATTCTTAAAGCCTTGGGTTATTTGTCACTTGTTTTGAACAAATAGAATAGATTACTAAATGTTTGGCAATCCTTCGGGATGCATATCGCCCGCCGCTTTTCTGACAGACTTTCACAGTAAAATCGTCCTGAGAAGTGATGACCTGCAGCGGTTTGGTCAACCCTTGTAAACGTCATCTCGTGGGAAATCTCGCGAGATGTACTCTAATGAGATTTACTCTCAGAGATTATATAGTAGTATGGGTTTAGAGTCTTTTAGCTCAATATTCGTAAAATTGGCGGTTACAGCCCTTTTGTCATTCCAAGGTGTGTATATATATATATATATATATATATATAATGCAGGCATGCAGTTTTTAGTATCTTACACTGTTTTCTAATGTAGCATGTTTTTTATTTTGTTTTATATACTTCTCATTTGATATGCTTTTATATGAATGTTTATTGTTGTCTATACCTCATTTGTGGTTTTTGTGTAAAACAAGTCTCTCTTGTAAATGAGTCCTTGTGACTCATTGAGACAAACCTGTATAAATAAAAATAAAAAGAAACTGTCCAGATGACCTGACTGAAAATTGTTGGATGTGTAAATAAAGGTAGAATGAATGAAATAATATACAAACACAAGGAGACATTGTAACTCTTTTGCTTTCTGCAACATCCATCCATCCATCCATTATCTTTACCCGCTTATTCCATTTTGGGTCACGGGGGTCACTGATGCCCATGTCCAGCAATCACTGTGCGAGGGGCGGGGTACACCCTGGATGGGTTGCAAGTCCATCACAGGAACACATAGAGACAAACGAGACAAACAACCATTCACTTTCTCACTCACACCTAGGGACAATTTAATGTTACCAATCAGCCTAACATGCATGTTTTTGGTCTGTGGGAGGAAACAGGAGTACCTGGAGAAAACCCACGCATGCACGGAGAGAACATACAAACTCCACCCAGAAAGGCCCCTGGACCGGGGTTTGAACCTGTCAGAAGAGTCCATCCATCCATCCATCCATCCATTATCTTTTACCCGTTTTTTTCCATTTTGGGTCACGGGGGTCGCCAGTGCCCATGTCACTGTCACAGTGCCAATCACTGTGCGATGGGCGAGGTACACCCTGGACGGGTCGCAAGTCCATCAGGGCCGCCAGAAGAGTCCTGCCAAAAAAATCATATATAACTCAAAATAAAATAGGGAAATAAAACAACAGTGATACAAGTTAAGGCAATTAGGAAGTGGCACAACAATGCTGCAGAAAAAACTAAAATGGCAATCAAGAGATAATAAACATGTCCATCCATCTTCTACCACTTATCTGTGATCAGGTCGCAGTGACAACAGGTCCAGGAGAGAAACCCATACCTCCCTCTCCCCAGCAACACATTTCAGCTTGTTCTAGGAGACCCCAAGGCTTTCCCAGGCCAGAGAAGATACACAATACCTCCAGCGAATTTTCTGTCTTCCCCGGGGCCTTATACCAGTGGGACGTGCCTGGAAAACCTTTAAAGGGAGACATCCAGGATGCATCCTAGTCAGATGCCTGAACTACCTCAACTGACTCCTTTTGATGCAGAGGAGTAGCTGCTCTACTCCAAGTTCCCCCGGATAACAGAGCTCCTCACCTTATCTCTAATGATAAGCACAGCCACTCTGCAAAGGAAGCCCATGTCGGCCACTTTTATCTGGGATCTCGTTCTTTCTGTCATGATCCAAACCTCATGACTGACTGTAGGTGAGGGTTGGAACAGACAGACCAGGAAATTGAAAGCTTTGCCTTTCAGCTCAGCTCTCACTTCACTACGACAGACTGAAGCAACGTCCTCATTATTGAGGACAAGGCCTCAGTCCGTTGATCCATCTCCCACTCCATCCTACCATGCCTTGTGAACAAAAGGCCCAGATACTTGAACTCCTCGACTTGAGGCAAACTCTTTCCCCCGACTCAGAGGGGGCAATCCACCCGTTTCCATTCAAGAACTACGGCCTCAGATTTTCAGGAGCTGACTCTCATCCCTGCCACTTCACACTCAGCTGCAAACAGCCCCAGTGCATGCTGAAGTTCTTGGCTTGAAGATGTCAACAGAACCACGTCCTCAACATAAAGCAGAGATAAGACCTTGAGGTTCCCAAACCAGACGGCATCGTCTTCATGAGTGCATCTCCAGATCTTGTCCATCAACACCACAAACAAGATCTGAGACTAATTTAGTTCATTATTAAGACAGCTGAATAAATAAAAAAAACACTAAAAAGTGATGTAAAAAATATGCTCTTGTTTTACGGTCCACGTTGCATTACATCTCCTTCAGATTGAATGTCCCGGCTCAGATGTTTCATAATCCAGTCAGTTTTTGGACACAGCGGACTCAAGGGGCAACAAAAAATATGTTGATCTGTTTATAATTTCTGACTGTTGTTGCATACACAATCGTCAAAAACTTTCTGTAATTATTTAATTAGAAGAAAAAAATTAAACTGTGTGGTAATTAGGTATATATATATATATATATATATATATATATATATATATATATATATATATATTTATTTATTTATTTGTTTATGTATGGACCTAAAAAAAAGTGAATATGCAAAAAATATTAAACACGTGTCTTTAATTTAAATATTACTAATGAGACAACAGATGATAATTGTTCATGATAGTTCTAAATTTTACTTTTAACCATCAAGAACTTTGCATCATTTTACCTGATGGGTCGGACTGAGCCAAAAGTCAAGAAATATGACTTTTAATAATCCAGAAATATGACACGTGTCATTTAAGCTTTTCTTGTCTTCATGATTAAGACAACAGACAATTTGTTGAAGGTCTTTATGTGGTTCTGCTGCACTGTTATGCATATTGTTCTGCAAATGCTGCAAGCAGAATCACCCAAATAGATCACGGGAAAGCTCCCATGAATAATGTAGGCTACATAATAAGATTTATTCTAAATATAATAGGATAATGTATCAAAGGTTTATTTTTTTTATTTTTTTTTTCCTATAAATGTTGCCCATTCTGAAAAGTTGTGTATATTGCAATCAAATTACTACTGAGAGCCTTAAATTTACAAATAATTGCCTCACTTGAACGGAAACATAAAAAAGACACTGGCACTATATCAAACACTGGGTTTGTATTACCAGTACTTTAGTTTCTGACCCTTGACCCATTGCAGTGAACATTTTACTCATCTGCCGAACGGGGCAAACATGCAGCTTGGTGCCAGTAGGAGTTGGAGCTGCTTGTAAACAGGAACAGAATAATACAAATCACAGCTGCTGGTTTGATGCCCAAACCCCCTGCACAGGATGCCAAGACAAACTAGGCAGATGACCAATAAAGTGATGGTTAAGAGCTACAGGATAATTGTGACGGTCAGGTGTGCAGTAACAGTCTCATAATGACTGCATGTAAACAATGTAAACAAAAATCAGCTGAGAGTGTATCAAAGCTTTTAGCTTTGCTAAAAGAACCCACAGTGAGAAATAAAAAGATCTCCTCTTCCTGAGACATTGTTCTCACTGACAAACAGATGTTGCTGTTCCATGTATGTGACAACATTTTCTTCGAAAACTAATGACAGCATTTGTTTTTCCCCACCTGATGCTGCTGCTGTTCAGATCTGGACAGCCTGAACTTATTAAGAAGAAACTTACAAGAAAGAGACGAGTAAATCGGATGCCAGCGCTCCACAGCAGAGACCAGCTCCAGGAGAGAAGAAAATCCAATTGGCAGTAATTTTACTGCGGAGTTTGGACACAATGAAATGTCCTTAGTTTTAATGTGCTTCCAAGATGTATTTCCTACTTTTATTTCTAGGAATAGCACATGGTCTTGTGCTGCACATGTCAGATTCAGAGAGTACATGGAGAAAGTAAACAATGCTTTTGAAGATGACTTATGGTGGGGAATATTAAGGAAAATGTGTACAAAAAAAAATTACTGACCCTTTTTTTCAATTCAAAAACATTGACTTTGATATTTTTTTGGTTTTCTTTAACACAAAACAATAATCACTAATGCAAATACTTCCACGATAATCAATATAGCAATCTATTTTTTGCATCTTTATTTTTATTTTACCACTGTGTTCTTGACTATATTTGACTCATTTATTATGCACAGTGATGTAATATTATGTAGTCAGTGAGGGTCTGTGGAGTTTGAATACATCCTTTCACAGTCGTGTGGTGGTTAGCACTGCTGCCTCACAGCAGACTGGCAGAAGGGCTCTTTTTGTGTGGAGTTTGCATGTTTGTTTCATTTCCGCAAACTGTTCTCCTCTATTTTATTCTTATTGTCCAAAATCGTGCAAGTTAGGTTAATTAGTGCTTCTGAGATATTTCATATCTCTTTATCCATTATCTGTCCGTCCTCTCCTCTTCCTCCTCCTTCTTCATAAGTTGCATGGCAGCTGGTGCCTTTCTCTGGCAGTCACTGTGCGAGAGGTGGAATATAACTTAGACAAAAGGTCTGTAAGCTCAGGCATCCATGTAGATAACAACAAAACAACCTTGACAGGTCACAAGTCCATCACAGGCAGCTATGAACAGTAAATTAAATTGAATAGTTTATTCATTAAATATAAACTACTGTTGGTACCGCACTGTTGATCAAGTGTGGAAAATGGGAAATAACCAGTAAAGATGATTAAAAATTCTATGCCCATTCATGATGTTAGCATGATAACTTGAAAAGTAAGTGCGGTACCAACTTATATTTTGGTGTGTGGCTGCATGAGTGAGAAAGCTTCTTATTGAAAATTGGGTTGCCACATCAAAATACACGATGGCCACCACCGTATATATTTATGTAAACACCCCCTGTCATTTGAGGAAACTATGCTTTCTAGTTTTTACATTGCTTAAAAGTATTGTTTTCTCAAATGATTGGGGTGGCCTAAGATTAATCTATGGTGGCCAAGGCCTCTTTTGGCCACCCCCTGGTTTGATCATTGTGCATGGCCATGGATAAAAATGTTCCCTCCACTCACCAAGATCTGTCACTCTGCAATCTTGGACAAGGAAATGATTAAAAATAAAAAAAAACTCAGATATTCTACTCAGTGTACTTCCTACACACTTCTTCTTGTGTTAAAAACATTAAGGTTTACTTGCATTCCCTGCTTAATTTCAGTGCAGAAAAACATTAATCTCGAAAACTACAAACGTCCACTCTTTAAATCCCTCTGCGACAAGGGACCACATCTTAACAGAAAGCAGATGTTTAGTTGGGACTAACTAACAGACCTAACTGAACTGATCCACACTGGGTTTGATGAAGCTTCTTCTTCATTTTTGTCCTGGAGCTTGCTCTCTAGCTTTTCCTAGAAGACCTCTTTCTCTCATTTATCTTGGCTGTGAACTCTTTTGGACTCTACCTACCATAATCACTCTGTGTCACAGGCTGCTGCATTGATTGTGAAGATGGAAGTGACACCTAGCAGCTCTCAGACTGATTTGTCCAATAAAACGAAGGCAGATGAGTATTATGCACTTCTAACATGTATTATATAGGCTGGGGACCTTTGCGTTCAGATTTTAATAGTGTGGATCCAGCTAAGAAGCAAGTACTGGTAGGTTACTTGGAAAAAAAAACTGAGCCAAGAATAAAATTACCAGATGACTTCACTGTTTCTCTTTCTATAGGTTTCGAAAACAAATCATTTGCTAATTTCACCAAGTAAAATTCAGTTCTAGAAAACATCTGTTAGCTGAAAGTTAGACTGGCTTTTAGGTCCTGATGTACAAAATAAATCCAACTCAAGCATGAATCCAAACCTCTCTCTTTCTCTATTGTCAGTCCATTAACTTCATCCAGATCTTGCATGTTGCTCAATGCCTTCCCAGCTTTTCCACACTCTCATGGGAGTCTCTTTAACAGGAACTAATCCAAACAGTCAAGGAATTAGAGACCAAGAATGTTGTTTTGTCAGCCGTAATGTGGACTGGTCCAGTGTTGCGTAATTTGTTTTCAACAACAATCAGCTAGAATCTTGTCGTAAGAAAGTCATGACTTCATTTTCAAGACGATTAACCTCAGGAGGAGGTTGTGGTTTGGACCATTAATAACCTCCTACTTAAAGTGCCAAGATGTTGACTGTCAGTGCTCATCAAGTGCTGTCTGTTTTTACAGAGTGATACAGTGTAAAAACACTCACGATGTTCTCGTGGTTCGTGCAGTCATGAACGTTAGGACTGAAGCAGATGTGAATTTAAGAACGTCAAGGACTTTTGGACTTGGTGTGTCAGTCCCACTGCTACTGTTGATACAAGTGCAAGGGACTGGTACTATAATGTTTGTTGTAGCTAAACTCATCTTCTAGCATCATCTAATCCTCCTTACAGAAAATGTGGGTTATAGATATGTGAACTGGTGGTAAATGTATTTTTCTGGGAATTAAATCGCATTACTTAAATTTATGCTAACCTGATGTTACTGCTCCTTTTAACAAGTTCAGATATTCACTGTGATGTAGCTACTCTTAGTGGCACCCCCAGTGGTAAGCTCTGAGACATTTTATCCCGAAGTTGTCTTTTAATTTTCATTATCTTTACAGTGACAATTTAATTTTTCTGCTTTGGTGTTTATCTTGTGTTTCTTGTCTGTGAATTTTCATCTTTTGTGTGCCTCTCTGTATTCTCCAGCCATCCTCGGTACTTTTCCTTGGTCAGCCTTCACTCCCTGGTTTTATTCCACACACTTACACCTGTTTCCTGTTGTCATTACACAGCCTGACTGTCTAACATCAATCCCAGCCTTCTTAAGTTTGTTCTCCAGTCTGACATTATGCTTCATGCCCTGTCTAGTTCTCCTCCATGTATCTTGTTGTGTCTTTTTCACTGCCACACCAGCCTTTTGTTTTAACAGTTATTAAATCTTTTAGGTTTTACTCAAGCCTCCCATGTTCGTTCTTCATTCTTGGGTCCATCTTTCATCTAAACAGTCTTTTATTTTGCACAAAATTGCCTAAATATACTGTATTATTTTACATGATTAGTGTTTAGTGTATATCTTAGATCCTTGTATACTGTTTCTTGTTATACTTTATATTTTATTTTTGCTATTTTTGGGTGTAACTGGGACCTTGAGTACTCAGTTTCGTTCCATCTCATGTACCATATGTGATGTGATTGACAATAAAGAACCTTGAACCATGAACCTTGAAATAAATTTAAATTGTGTTTAAAAATGTTTGTATAACAATTGTGTTTGGGTTTACTGTATTTCACCTCAGTTGGACTGAAGCAAGGTTATTTTAACAGTGTACAATTGACCAAAAAATATATATATATATATTTTCAGCAAATCAAAATTCTGCAGCCAGTGTTGACAGATACTGATAAGAAAGTGCAATTTACCTATAAGTAAATAACTTTAAAATAATTTTGTATTACATGAAAACCCCTTAATGGTCTTATCTGACAGATCTTATCATTTCCTGTCACCCTTTAAGAACGTGATGCTTGTCTTTTTTTTTTTTTTTCAACCTGCAAGAAGATTCTTTAGTTTTAAAGCTCACTGAATGATGTATGAGATGAAGACACCTTCTCTCTTTTTAAACCAAAACTTAAAATCATGATCTGTCTATTAGCCACTCAGTTTATCATCCTTTGTCATTCCTTCAGTTTGCATACCTGCTTTGTTCTGTTTGGGGTTTCAGGGACCCATTAGCTGTCAATCAGCTGTCAACCAGCTGGTACAGGTCCATCAAATAAATAAAAAAGCATGCATGTCACCTACAGTCAAAGGTTTGGGGTTGTGGAGTAAAGGGAGAAGAAATAGACTCCAGCCAGAAAGGCCTTTTTCTTCCAACCTTCCAGGGGATCTGTGCCATCCCCTCATCTCTGTTGATTTGCAACTTTAAAACATTTAAAAGCAATTTGAGCAGGATGTAACATTTTAATGTTGGGTATACACTTTATTAGGTCATGTAATTGGCCTCTTTCTTTAAACAGCGCACAGGATTTCGGCTCATAAAGTCAATGCACTCAGCAGCTGGCATGGAGTTCAATCTGATTGATGCTTCCAAAACCTCGTCCAAGAAAAAACACAAATGGCTCTACTTAAAGAAACACAGAACAAATCTGCAAGCCAGCCAACATATATTACAGCTTTATATACAAATATATAAATGTACAATCAATAAATACATTATAAAGGTTTTGTTTAATGTATTATGGGCGTTACTGATGTCAGTTCATGACAGATTTCAAAGGCTTGCATGTCTTTTTTAAGGGTGGGAAAAACTTAATGCTAAAAGCTAAGCTTAACAACGTAAACCGCCTCGAGCGAGACAGAGTTAACAACTCTTAAGTTGAACTTTTCTGGATGAATATAAAAGTGGCTAAAGTTAATTTTTATATATATATATAAAAATAAGAATTAAGGAATGCAAATCCCTAGTGGAGTGCAATCAACATATTCTTTACATCTAAATGGTCTTTCTAAAGTGACCAGTGACACAAAACCGAGCACGATTAAAAAAACAAACAAGGCCTCCAAAGATAAGGTGTGAACACAACTCATATTATAAGAACAAATACTGATGTTAGTTACAGTATGTAAAAAAGAACACTGTGATTCTCTGTTCCATAGATAGGAAGTGGTTCTTTGGTCCCTGTTGATTGTTGGCATTTTAGTGATATAAAAAGACACAACTCTTGGCACAAAAAGACAAAACGCATAAAAAACAAAAACACATTTAAAGATGTGCTATAATTCTGCCCATCACAATGAATCATTAACAATTTATCAATAATTCAAGTTCACATTGGCACAGGAAACATAATTTCAGAGGTTTCAGAGTGTAACAAAGTCAGTAAAAACAGTACATACAGGATACACAAGCATAACAATGATTATAAAGCAGCAAAAGCCACTCTTGGGATAATTTTGTTGTTGGTAAAAAAAAAATGCAAGAACATCGTAAGGAAGCAACCATTGACAGTTCCATCAGCAGAGTTTGGATAAAGAGATGAGAAGTCATGATGTTTCACCGGGGGGGTGGGGTAAAGAAGAAAATCTGGAAAATGACGGGGGACAAAAGGAGCATTCACTGAGAGTCCGGTGTTTGCAAAGGTTTTCCAGTGTTTCTGTGTGCTGTCCATCTTAGGCTGTGTCGCTAGAGATGGGTGAGTTGCATGATGGGAAATCTTCAAGTTTGCTTCAAGCGTCGTTCTGCTTAAAAAGGCTGCCCTGCGTTTTGAGCCTGTGCATCCTGACGGGACAACAAACAAAAAAGATGAGGTGTCGCGCACGGTTTAACTTTAAACCACATTTTACACGTGTTTTTCTGCTTGGACGTTCGTGTGATCGAGTTTACCGTCTTTCTTTGCGGCTCTGGTTGTCTTCTTTGGACTTGACAAAAACAGCATCTTCTCCTCCCTGAACAAGGTAAGCAAACTCCCCATCCTTTGCATCGAAGATAACCCTGAAATCACACACGATGTATATTTTAATTCCTATTTGTCTCGAGCCATAAATACATTCTGTGTATCTGTGCCGATTCATTTGAACTCACTTGGACTGAGTCTCCCCGCACTTGATGCGAAGCTTGCGGAGGTGAAACTTGTTGCTGCCCCACCAGCTGGACCAGCTGATGATGGCGTCCTTCTCCCAGCGCAGCTTAACCATCATGAGGTCACCAATGTCCACGTCGGTGGTGATGAGGAAGGAAAAGGTGGTGTTGTCCTTCAGGGCTGGTCTGTGGGGGTTAAAGGAAGGTTAGCATGCAGCAGCTCCATCTGTAATTTCATCAGTCGTTTCATCTACGTACAGAATGAAAGGGATGTCCTCCTTCTCTTCAAGGGTGCCATATAGTGAAATCTTCATCGGCTGCTCGCTGAAGCTCAGTTTCTCCTGGCTGAAGAAGTGCGCTTTCACTTGGTAGTGGAAAACTGCCAGACAGGGCACAACACAGTTTCAAACTCACACATCTCTTAGTTCACCTAGCACGAATGAAACCTGTAGTGCAGCATTAAATTATAGATACAATGTGGCTGTTTCTTCATCCACTTTTCTCCTCACGGTCTCCTAAATGCTTCTTGCTGCACTGTCTTCGTGAAGCGCTCAAGAACTGTATTCGGTCAGTCAGTGAAACCGTTAATGCCTCTAATATTTCTGCCAGCTCCAAGCAGTCACACTCACGCTAAGCATGTTCACCGAAAGTAGCTAATAAACAGAGGATTACTTTAAATTGAGGCATGTGAATGATTTAAATCTGAGTAATTCCCACTAAATCCAGTCAGACTTCTCTACTCCTTTCAATCTGCACCATTTGCATGAAATTAACCTTATTATTATTCAATCGGTGCCCTCTGTCTTGATAATTACCTTTGTAGGGCATCATTTCACGAGTCTTGAGGTACATTGTTGTGCTGCGAGCCGTGCGGACTTTGTTGATGTTGTAGCCGAGCTTGTTGCAGCGGTTCTTCCTGCAGCTGAGGCACATCCCCTTGTTGAAGGTGTCTTTGGAGTTGCAGCGATAGGCCATGCTCTGCCGCTCGTAGTTCAGCAGGGAGTCGATGAACAGGTGGATGGAGCGCTCGTGGGAACATTTGACGAGCTGGTCCATGTCTGCAACACGCAGAGCGAAGAGAGCGTAAAACCTCTGCAGCTTTTCTCAGATGACGTCACGTAAATCCAATTACTTCCTGATATACACCCTTTTTTATATATATTTTTATTAAATGTGACTTCCTAAGGGCACACCTCATTTAGTTCTGCTTGGATACATTAAAACACAGCAGAGAGAAGAGTGAAATGATCAAATTTCAGGTAAAATTTGAACCTGAGCAGCTCAGTTTGCAGGTTAAGAACAACTGCAGCTCTGAAAGTTCAGTTTAGTTGTGACGTGACTCTGTAAAAGTACATGAATCTGCCCTGATTTAAGTTACAAAAAGATGCCACAACGATGGACAATTAAGTTTCTAATGTATTCAGACCAGTTCTGTTAAACTAAAATGCTTTTTAAAAAAATGCAGCATCTCAGCTGGAAATGTGAGGAGGAATAAATAACTAGCAGCCTTTGTGTGACGTACTTTGGAGGCCCTTGATCCCCGCTGACGCAATCCCCATCAGGGTGTTCTGGATGTCGCAGCCCGGCTGGAAGGTGCCTCCATTAGGGTAGATGTCGATGTGTCCCACGGGTCTTTGGATGCCGATGCTGCGGTCCGGAGAACCCCTAGTGTTCGTGTGCAGGACGTCCACAAACTGGGCATCGCCTCGGGACAGCGTGCTCTGCTCGTCTGCGTGCTCAAAGGTGGGACCAGCAGGATCCAGACCTTAGAAAAATGCTTTTTTTAAATCTCTGTGGCCACTCTAAACTACAAACACATGATTCAGATCAAAAGCTCAAGGGGGACAGATTGTTTCGTGATGTATGGAGCCCAAAGTTTGTACTCAGTTTGACCTCGTTCGGACTTGTTTAGCTCTTGAAGCTCAAACCACGAAACAATGCGAGGCAGCGACTGAACTCATTTAATGATCACAGTAAATGCACCATTCTTTAAAGCAGGTCAGGGAGATTTCAAAGCTGGATAAACTTCAGAGTAGTCAATCGAGAGCCGACACAAACAGGCCGTTTGCACACATACAATGCAGGCCTGGAATGTAGTCTGACCGACTGTTTTCAGCAGAGGGGGGCTGTAAAGCAGAGGGCTAATACTTCATGCCATATGTTTACGTGACTGAACGTCTAAAGAAAGTTAACTGTTTAACGCATAACACTTGCAACTCATTCAGCCAGAACCTTAATATTTAATGTGTGATGTAAATCAAAGCACGCACCTGTGATCCTGCTGATTTTTTGGTCAGTGAGGTCTCCTGCAATCCCAGCCACATGAGCCCCCAGACTGTAACCCAGCAGGTGGATCCTCTCCCAGGGCAGCTCCAGCTCTTTCTGTAAGCCAATAAAGTGAGACAATTAAAAACAAACAAACAATCAAATAAAAGAAAATCCAACAAAAATGCCAATCTTACAGGCTCTGTTTCAGTGAGAGAGGGGTCGGTTTAATTTTATGCCTTGCTAGATTCTTGCAGGCTTTAAAACTTGGAAGTTACACAAGCGAACGAGACTTTGTCACTGTGAGCCTCGCAATGAGAGGCGGCGCGCCGCAAACTCGACCATTAAATGTGTTTATAACCATTTCAAATCATAAACAGCAGGAAAACGAATCCACAGCAGCTTGATTGGGAACAAAGCGTTACGTCATAGGCGACAAATTTCAGACAATGCACTAATGTCTTGGTCAACAGGGTCAAATCCACAAAGACAATGGAGAACATGCAATCCAGCTGTTCCCAAACACCCAAGCACCTAAAAAAGCACCTCTGTGTGGGAACAATCACCTGCAGCCAGGAAACAAACTTGGCCACGTCACGGCCCACCAGCTTGGTGTACGCTGCAGACGTGGGGTAGTGTTGGCTGGCGCGGGTCAACCAGTCCACCACGATCACGTTGGCGCTGGGCTCGCGCTCGTACAGAGCAGACACCAGCTTTGGCACCCAGCTCTCGAACATTCCTGTCACCTGTAATTAAACAAAAACAGATTATGTCTTCACTGAGCACATTTTGTTTGAATCGCAAATCTACAAACGACTGTGAGTCAAACAGAGCACAAGCACATTTAGTTGTGGTTCTTATTGCTTATTAAACTGTATTATCTAATGAGATAATAAATAGGAACAAAAAGAGATTGCATCCAGCTGTGAAATCGTTCAGATGCAGTTTTAATTTGAGTTCAGGAACTTCTGAACTTTTAAACTCACCACCATTTCTGTCATACATGTTGCGCTACCCGTGCGTTACCGTCATAACGTTTCTTTTTGCACACCGGATTGATTTGTGAAGCAGTTTTAACATCCAGAAATGCAGAAATCATGTGTGTAACTTTGCATGCCTGGTTGCACGAGAGCCTGAGGTCAGCTGCTGCGTGGTGTGATTTATTTGGGCCTCAGCCTTTGTCCCGCTGCTGGAGAAGAGCCAAGGCATCATCAAGTTCGAATGTTGCTGCCTGCCTTTTAATCACATTATAGAAGAAGATGCATGCTGGCCGAACTTCAGTGTGTGCTTTATGTTTCAACAATGTGTGTTTTAGTGTTTTCCAGCTGCTGGGTGTCGTCATATCACCACAACTAAGTTTCAGAGCCAGCGAACTGTTTACTGTCCACAAATAACTGCACACAGAACTCACACACACTGATTATGAGTGTGTTCAGTGTGACGTACCGTCCAGCCGTGTATCACAATGAAGGTCTGCGTTTCTGTGTTGAATTCACACTCTTTGATGGTCTGTGGTCTGCCGGGCACGATGTAGCACATGTCATCGTCTGGCAGCTCGGCGGTGCGCAGGGAGAACTTGGACACGATGTCAGAAAGGTCTGTGAGCCATTCAGTGGTGGTTGGCAGAGGAGTAGAGGTGACGGTGGTGTTTACTGTCACAACACACACACACACACAGTTTACATGACATGAGGTATGACCACAGTCTGAGGGCTTTAAAACTGATTGCTGTTATTTTTAAAGCAATAACAAGATTTATTTTAATACACAAGAAGAAGAGGTGAGAGGTCACTCCAGAAGGGTAATATGTCATGGAAGTGTCGCCCCCCTTTATGTTTCATCTGCATTTCTACCATCATAACAGTTACATTTAATAATTTGGATTTTCTAAATAAAATCAAAACAAACTGATTGCATTTTATCTTATCACTCTGAAAAAAACAAATCTGTTTATTGGGTTTGATGTATAAATTTAAGACTTTTAATGGATTTTAAAATGAATGCTGATTTTTCATTTGTATTTAAAGTTTAAGTATTGTAATGAAATAGTGTAGAAAACAATATGTGGGTTCTTCCATCCATATCCCCCCCTGCTCCCTCAGATGAAAGGCTCCCTGCTGCAGCTTTCCTTCATGCATTCATGGAGCTGAATGGGTGCAGAGCTGAACCCTGAAAGCTTGGGAAGGGGTTACCTCCGGTCAAAAAGGAACATCAAGCACAGATTAGCCTGTTTCCTGAGGCTGATTTACCTCATCACATCTGGATCTCTTGTTAAACAAACCTCATTAAGATAAATATGCATGGGCTTACCAAAAGCAGTTGTGGTGGCAGGTTCAACACTGGAAGAAAAAGTTGCAAAGATGTTTCCCAAAGTTATCCAAATGGTCAAAAAACAAATGTTTTCCGTTCCCATATTATTATTGAGGGCTGGTTTTTTTTATCCTAAATGTCCTAATTTAAAAGTTGATTGTCGAGTATAGATTTGATATCCTCTTAAACCCAAAGCACCGATGACAAAGTGGTGTGGAGTTGTGGTTTAAGGGTGAAGTGGCTTAAGATCTGTAGGAGTTTGCTGCTCCTAGTCATCTTTATGGGTGGCTTATTTGAATATTCAACCATGATTGGCTGCAGGTTTGAGGGAGGAGACTAAACTTTGTCCCAGCTCTGGGGAAAAAAACAGATTATTCATCCTGTGAGGAAAGCTGTGGCCCCCGGCTGCACAGCAGAAGGTTTTACTTAAACATTGCCACCAACTCTCGGTATGTTTGTGTGATTCAAGAGATTACAGGATGACCGACCTTCACCCAACTCCAAATTATACGAGAAAATGAACTTTTATCAGACTTTGATGGGTTAAAAAGAGTTAAGAATATGCAATATACTGTATGTTGAAAAAAGTATTGGTTTTAGAAGTACACTATCATTTACAGGCAGCTGTAGCTGAGTGGTTGGAGCAGTCGTCCTCCTATGGGGGAGTTGAGAGTTTGATTCCACCAGCAGTCACATGCTGAAGTGTCCCTGAGCAAGACACTGAACCCCTCATTGCCTCTGATAGTATGTCATGAATGTGATCTAAAAGCACTGATTGGTCTCTAAAGAATGATTTGTTCAGATTATCTTTGTAGAGATGCAGTGGAGTGCTGGATGAGTGTGTGTTGAGGTAAATGAGGGCACAGATTGCGTTGTAAAGCAATTTGATTAGATTGAAAGGCCGCGGCGCTATTTAAATACATTTTGTGTTATCATTTTACAGACATTTTGATACTGAATGCCTTTGTTTGAAACAAAACAAAGTTTATTTTTTGCTGTTATTGTTTGAGTTCTTCAGTAAAATCTCAATTTAGTAGCTACAGGCTTTCAAATGGTCCACATTTTACACAATTATTCAAAATCTATATGGTTTTTAAGCACATTTTAGCAGCAATGACATCCTCAAATCTTTGTAATTAAGGTGTTATTTTTCAGGAAGCAGAAATATTAAGCATCAGTCAAAGTGGATTTGAAGTTCATTTATGGTTTTTAAATATAGCTGCTCAAATCTCTGATTAATTTTGCATTAAAGTATGCGATAAATGCTTTTAGATGGATGTATTGCTGTAAACTCATTTGTGGCATTGAACAAATGTGCTGAATGACAGGAATAATATAGGAGGTCTGTGTTTCAGGCTGTTCAAATGTAATTCTTGAAGCAACTTTAGAGTTCGTCTCTTGCAAAATGACACTGAATAAGATCCCAGATTGTTATAAAGAAAGGAAACACGCAGGGGGTTTAAATAAAACAACAAAAAAATCCAAGAGTGGCACTAGATGACAACAAAAAGGAGGACACAAACATCATATGGATGGAGTGCAGGACAAGACTGGAGTTTTGCTCTGTTGCGTATGGCCTTTGGGGGTGGGGCTGGGGGGTTGCTTTTACCCGGGAGCCCACAGACTGATGATCCTCCCAGGATTTCAAGAACCCACGTCCATGTGAGAGCTGTGTGGGTGTACTACAGTGCCCTCTTTCTCATTTAAGGACCACAAGTGGAACAGTGTCAGAGAATTTCAAAATGATACTCTCGTTCCTCGTGGAAAAGACAAACTGGTCTTCTATCAGGTCACAAAATATACAAAAACAAGATCTGGGGACACCGTGGATATTTCTGGTGGCAGGTCAAACATTTTGTGACATTCTTTACAACACAAAGGAAACTCAAGATTAGATAGAAAAGCATCACAAGCAGTGGTGAGAAACATGTTTATGAAACATCAAACTTCATGCTTAATAATCCCAGTAAAAAAAAACAACAACAAATTTCAGTCAGGTCATCTGGACAGCTTCTTTTTTTTGTTGTTGTTGAAACATTTCATCCTTCATCCAAAGGACTTCGTCAGGTGGAGCCACAACAAACTCAGTCCCACAAGCAGCACACTCTTATAGTGGACCAACCAGTTTGCTGGTGAGAAGATGGTTTCTGGAGCCCGCCATCTCCCCCATCAACTCCTCTGAGGCAGCCATAGCCAAAGTGGTTCAAAACATCAAAGTTCATGCATGAAGAAGTTCTTTGGATGAAGGCCGAAACAGCTCAACAACAAAAAAGAAACAGTCCAGATGATCTGACTGAACTTTATTGGATTTTTTACTTGGATTATTGAGCATGAACTTTGATATTTTGAATCACTTTGACTATAGCTTCCTCAGAGGAGTCGACCGGGGAGAGAGCGGGCTCCAGAAACCATCTTCTCACCAGCAAACTGGTTGGTCCACTATGTGAGTGTGCTGCTTGTGGGACTGAGTTTGTTGTGGCTCCTCGGACTGACGAAGTCCTATGGATGAAGGACAAAACGTTTCAACAAAAAAAAAAAGAAACCGTCCAGATGACCTGACTGAACTTTGTTGCATATACAGTATATGAAAGTTTAAAAAAAAAAAAAATTTCTTAAAATACTTAAACATATTATATACCTCAATTATCTCTCCAGATCGAGGGCGACAACACAAACTGATTAACAGAATCACTCAAATAATGTGACACCATCATCTTTTTTCATTCATATTGTGTAAAAACAAGCTGTCCATCAGCAGTGTTGATATTTCATCCCACCTTTGAGAACTACTAGAATCAAGCTGATATTTATATATAAAATCAGTGATCATGACATTTAGACCAGAGCTATTCAACTGGTGGCCCGGGGGCCAAATCAGGCCCACAGGTGAGCCATGTTCGGCCCACCAATGAGCTCATTTTAAAATAAAACTAGACTTTAAATTGTAAAACAAAGTTACTTAATGACAATAACGGCTGGCTGTCCGGCCCCTGAGCTCTTGGCTTTCAGTAAATATGCTCTCCTGAGAAATTTAGTTGAATAGCCCTGATTTAGACAGCTACTGAGTATGATGGGTGCCATCAAGTCTGTCATCCTTCCCCAGCCTGAAAGTTGGAAACACACTGAATGGAGGCCTGATACTAATCTGTGGTTTTTCTGAACATGTTTAGCTGACTGGCAAATGGGAAGGGTGGCATGCACATCAAAATGAGCACTTTTTCTGGTCATAATGTTGTGGCTGATATGTGTATATGTACTGTACGAGATAATGATTGGAAAGGGATGCTTAAGTCTCAACCAGCAGGTCCAACCTAGTAGTTAGGCAGCAGAGCGACGCCTCTCGCTCTATCTGTTACTGTACAAGCAGCCACAGTAAGAGCCTAAATGATGACTGGCTGCACGAGACACGCCCTGGCAACATCAGTTATGTTTAGCCTCGTGGAAATGTTTTCTTTAATCGTAAACTTCCTCAGCTGCTTGGAGGTTGTTGTGACTCAAAGATAAAGAGGTGGAGGAGGGTCAGCAGTGATAGCAGACTGTGTATCTTTTCAAACTTGCTCGTTGTTTAGATCTTTCTCTGAGCACATCAAAAAATCTGAGCACAGATTTTCTCCACTTTTCCTGTTGCTGCTGTTTTTCCTCTGTGAGCTTCCAAACGGACATTAGTTTCACATTCCACAACCTGCATTTAAAAGGGACACCGAAATACAGTGTGCTGTGTGCACACTGAATAAATGTGCAGCATGGTCTTGATTCATGTGGGGTGTAAAAAAATACTTTCCCTTTCTGGCCTCTTGTGCCTGCAGTGTTTACATGCATCCTAATAATTACACTCAGGCTCTGCAGGTGCACTCCAAGTCCTTTTGGAAACAACATACGCTTCTTTCGCTCGTTGGATGAACTCATAAACTAAATGTAAACCTCATAAACTTGTGATGAGCTGCACATGCATGTTTAAAATGTTCAACTTGACGATTCACTCAAAAGGAGGCGTCATTCTGGGAAAAAAGATTTTTGAAAAGGAGCTGGTTTTCCAGAATGATCCATAGCTTGAGTTTGTTTCATCCACAGGTAACAAATAATCAGCTACTAATAAGTTTTCTGCTCAGTCTGATGAATTTCTCAACAGTTTGCATTCCTTTAACTTCCCTATCCCTTCATTGCAATTCCTTTTTTATATCCTTATTGTACGCTCATGCATATTACTGTAACATTGAAGGCATGTATGCAGAACCACACAAAATATTTTATATCTAACTGAGCTGAGACAGAACATACTGCTGTGCATGCAAGGCCAACTGTTTCCACGATCCTGTTGACACTCGTCACTTTGTGTTCTTCGTTATCAGATCGTTTCCCCCCGTCATATCTTCGCAGACACAACTAGAAATCAAAACGACCTTCAGGAAGTGCCGGCGGCCTTATTTCACCCTCCGCCTGTGGCTTCAAAAGTTAAAGAGAAAGCTCTAATTAGTAACTGATGTAGTTGGTTTCCCAATAGTCCATTCAGACGGCTGGGTGTGTGTGGCTCAATCAGTCTCTTCAGTAGGAGTGAAGTCTTTTACAAGCCTCCAGAAAAAGACTTGGAGAGGTCATAAAAAAGCCAAAGAAAAGATTCAGGGAGGAGACGTGCTGTTGAGGAAGAACATGTTTCATTCGTCTGTTTAAGGGTGGCGTGAAGTGAATGTGGCTGCAGTTTAGCGACAAAACTAAATGGGGGGTGCATCGCTTTAAAAAAGCCACAACAATCACTTGAAGGGAAACGAATCAGCTTTGCAAGCAGAAAATAACTTGCATTATCTGCAAAACCAGTGACATTTGAGTTGTGTTGTTTTGGGTATGCATGAGGGTTCTGCAGATTTTCAATGAAAAAACAAAATAAAACCCAACACTTGCGATGTTAACTTTTTTGAGACTTAACTGTGTAATGTGCTTGAAATATATGTATATACTGTAAAACTATACAACTTGAATTCTAAAAATATAAATAAAAAGCTGGCGCAGTGTGAAAAATGTAACAGAATGCAATGATTTGTAAATCTCAAAGGCCAACTTTTTTCACAGTGAAACATGGTAAAAATATCACTTTTTTAATTGTGTAATTTTAAAATATACATAGTTTTTTTTTTAAATATTATAATTTTCAACTAGATGTGGTAGCAGTACATCTGAACAAATTGTAATTGTGGCAATAAATGCAGTAAAAGTGAGTAGTATGTTTAAGAAGCTGGAGCAGCCTTTTACAGT